GCCCGGCTGTCGCCGGGCGCTCCTCCTTCTGTGACATGGCCCGGCGAAGCCGGGCCATGCGGATTTGCCGCGTGCTAAGTTAAGGATCGTTGACCAACCACACTGTTCAAAGGAATCTTCTGCATCAGAACTGAAAAGCAGCGCTTGTTCCGTCAAGGCGCAGAAGCAGCAGCAGCGCCCCCCCCCCGCATCACAGAAGGAGGAAAGCCGGCCTTAGCCAGCGATCCGACTGGTACGTTCATAACCTACACGGAAATAGTGCAGCCTGTTTATACAGCCACTGAAGCAGCCTTTATGCAATCTGTCTTCCTAAAGCGTCTTGCTTTGGAACGCACTACCGCATTCAGCAGTGGAACCCTTTAAATGGCCGGCCCTCACTGAAGTTTGCTGATGGAAGATAATTGTGGTAAGAGTGATAAAGTCAGTTGCTGCTGTTCATAACATCTCTGTAAACAAACCACATGCATTTGGAATAGAGCTGGCTTAGCGGTCGTACACGACGTCGTTACTAATAAGCAGTGAGGAATGAGTTCTGTTGGAATCACTGAGATCGTTATACTTGAGTCATATCGATCGCATTGTTGTGAGCGGTGAAGCGGATTTTCCCATGCTACCTTGTCAATTTTAGCTCCTATCACTTCCGATTTTAGTCCTACTCGTACCCGCTAATAACACTCCCATCCCGTATCACTATCATATCACCCTGTATCGCCTCTCGGATCAGAGGTCCCAGTGTTGCTGTAACCTGCGTTATCTGATGACCCTCCCCTTCCGAGGCCGCTTACCGTATCTTATCAACTGTTATCACTTTCTGTCGCCCGCCAATAATGTTCCCGTCCCACACCCTATATCACCTCACGGATCTGAGTTCCCACTGTGCTGTAACCTGCGCCACGAATTTGATGACCCTCCTCTTCCGAGGCCCCTTATCGGATCTTATCAACTGTTATCAGCTTCTGCCAGCCCCACCCTACGGCATATCAGTACTTGAAATCATGGTCCCGCCGTTGCTGCAACTTGCCACGAATTCGGTCACCTCCCCTTTTAAGGCCCTTATCGAATTATCAAGTCATCACCTCCTGTCACCCATCAAAAGTGTTCCCGTCCTGCCATGTATATCACTCCTTGAAATCACGGTCCCACACCTGCTGCAACTTGCGCTACGAATTCAGTCACCCTCCCCTTCTACGGCCCCTTATCGTATCTTATCAAGTGTTATCACCTCCTGACACCCACCAAAAGTGTTCCCGTCCTGCCATGTATATCACTTCTTGGAACTGTCATCCTATCTCTTCTGCGACGCTCGCTATGAATTTCGTGACACACACACACACACACACACACACACACACACACACACACACACACACACACACATAGCGGATTAGATATTTGTTAGATAGCAACGAGATATAAAAGGTAATACTGTCCCGAAACAGCTGCCAGCTTTGTACACTACTTGGCAACCTCTCATTTTTTTTGCATTTTTTGGCACAGAGTCATCAAATATTACTGAAATGAAACTCCCCACTAAAAATAGGAATGGAAAGTTACTAGTTCACAATCAACATAGTTCACCGTTGTACAGTAGGTACCTAAGCCAAAACTTTATCTGTAAATTTCATAAAAATCAAACTCATCAACAAGTATCATTAAAACAGCGTCCTGTGCATAGATCACATTGGATAAGAAATAGAGTTACGGTTTAGAAATAAAGTGTAACTACCACATAGATTAATGACTCTTTTCCACAATGACATACTAGAAGAAACAACAACAAGACAGCAACTTACGGCACAATAACAATGAAAATGAATGTGAGCAAATGTGACGTAACTAGAGTGCCGCCAAGGAAGAAATGGACGGCACAACTTCTGAAAATGAACGTAGAGAAAAGGTAAAAACCTCAGTGCTGAAGTTTCCTAATTGTATCACATCCAGGGTATGGCATCGTTGGGAGAATCCCATCAGAATCACATCGGAGGTCGCGGTTGGTCGCTAGGAGGGGGAGGGGGGATGGGGGCGTTTTCGCCTTTGAGAAAAATGTTTCCGAGCCGTGAGAAAATTTGCTCGGCTGTTGGCTTTTCTCGGTTTCTCCTTCATGCGCGCTATACTATAACCCCCACTCCCCAACTTTGAAACTAGACCAGTAGTCGACTGGTGACGACCCCCCTTCCGCCCCGCTCTCGACGGCAGTTTTCTCGATGAAACTGAAAATTTTTTGTAGAAAACCTAAGAAGATGGTAGGTAAGATGGAGAAAGGTGTCGTGGCAGATGAGGAAAATCGGGGGACGGGGGAAGGCCATACTGACACCACTATTTTACGCATCATTCCCATAGCCTACCATGACTAGGCTGGCCAATAATTTCAGAAACATTTTTCAATATTTCATTCCCAAACTGATTATTCAATCAACCACATACCCTCCGCCGACATCCACAACATGTTTGCCAAGGTGCACACAATTTGTAAACTTTCTCCTTGAAGGACTCTGGGAATTCGCTATAAAAGAAGCACTGAACGTTCATGCGGATTCTAATCTCGCCCGTGGTCCGACTTCTGCCTACAACTCAGCACGCTTGTGATAACTTTTGGATCGCGCACTGCGACGTTAAACAGCAGCTATCGAACAATAACGGGTATGAATGCAGCCTCATCACTGTTTGATCTAGCGTAACCCTTATATTAGGTTGGCGGAAAGTTCTGTCACTTTTTAAAAGAATATTTATTACTCTAGAGAAACATATAAGATAAATGTATTCACCGTTGTGTTCCGACTACTTCTTGCCAACGTCCAGGCAGTTTATGGATACCATCCCTCCAGAACTCAGCTTCGCGCGAGGCAAAATACGATGTCAACTCGACTTCGATCTGGGCGCGGGTTTTGAACTTCTTCCCATCCAGGTAACGGGTTAGGTCGGAGAATAACCAATAATCGGAAGGAGCAAGGTCTGGGCTGTACGGAGGATGAGGGAGAATGTCCAGCCATATTACCAGCTCTGATTTGACACTTCATGCAGGTGCGGTCTAACTTTGTCAGTGGAAGAAAAAAGTCTGAGGTGGCGCAGGTGCTCACGGTCCGGTAAAAACTCGTTCTCCATTCTGTAAAAGAGGGAGTAAAAAATGAA